GAAATAACAAAAATCTGCTTTTTCCCCGTAGGACATCATTCACGACCCTGGCCGTGGAGCTCCCTTGGCTAAGGTGATGTTTCGTGACCCATACCGCTTCAAGAAGAGGACAGAACTATTCATTGCAGCTGAAGGCATACACACTGGCCAGTTCATCTACTGTGGCAAGAAAGGTAATGCATTTCAAGTTGAGAATTGGTCAAACAAACATCCAGTCTTCTGTGCACATGCTGATGAAAGTGATTGGACTGTTGTAGCCCAGCTGAACATTGGCAATGTGCTCCCCGTTGGCACCATGCCTGAGGGTACCATTGTCTGCTGTCTGGAGGAGAAGCCCGGAGATAGAGGCAAACTCGCTCGTGCATCTGGAAACTACGCCACAGTCATCTCCCATAACCCTGAGACCAAGAAATCCAGAGTCAAGCTTCCATCTGGATCCAAAAAGGTCATCTCTTCTGCAAACAGAGCTGTAGTTGGTGAGCAAACATGGTTTTAGTTCATATCAAGAAGTTTTGGTTAATAACCTATTGTGTTCCTTGCATTGCATGGTTATTAATTAGATTTCGGATTGATTTTTATTTTGTAAAATCCTTGGGCCAGCCAGTAACACTCGCATATGCAACTAAATCTTCACTCTGGGCGACTAAATGATTTCTAATATTAGCCAATGGTTAATCAATTCTCAGATTTATTTTCAAAGTATATGATTAGCACCGATATATTTTCACTCACAGAACACTCTGACTGAACGCTTCAGAGTTTCACTCTCCGTCAAGCGATCTGTGATATTTTTCCAGTTCATTTGAATGGATGCGCAGCACACCTGTGTTTGTGTATTTGGCGTAACGTAAACTCTAGTGTGAAGGCGCACGACTCGCTGTCGCTTTCTCTCTCACGCGCAGAGCGATAGAGAGTCTTATATAACATCCAGAATTGATGCGCTACATGTAAACGATATTCTTTGTTGTATTTTCCTCTCAAAATAACAGTTCCTTTGGAATTCTTCAGCTTTTAAGAACTGCCGGGTTTTCCTGTAGTGGGCGGAACTAATGAGTAAACGACAATCTCATTGGCTGGTGCTCACCTAGAATCGTCCCCGTTTTGATTTCAGCGAATCGGTTCGAGCAAACGCACACAACCTGATTAATATTCATGGCTCCAGTAGCTCATTAATCCTTAGTGCGTTTTTATATTGTTCTTATTAGTAGAATTCGTATAATAATATCTTAACAGTATTATTGTTCGGTTTTTTTTTTTTTACAGGAAACCTGAATGACCAAAAAAAGCCATGGTTACCAAGTTAATTCTAATTACTAAACTTTTATTATTAAATAATACTTGATTATCATATTATAATGCTTGACTGACTGATATTAAGAGTGTACTTTCAGATATTTAAAAAGCTGTACCATTTTATTAACTATATATATATTTATTTATTAGTATAGTAGGCTATAGCATTTCAGTCTGGCGAGTAAACCAAAAAAATGTACTAGCCAATGGTGATTCAATTGCCAAGGTGTCTGTAGAGGGTTGTTGAGCGTTTGTTTTTCCTTATCTTTCATAAAAGAACATTTTTCTTGGTGGTGCTTGCCACTGAATCTGTCCATTGAAATATGTTGTGTGACCATGGGAATTTATAGTTTGAGTATATAATTTGAATGCATTTTATAGCACAGGGTTTCCTGTGCTCAAACTCGAATGGGTTTGTAACTTGAAGAGCTAATAATCACAAAAATGTTCAATTGAATTTAAATTATGAAAAAAATCAGAACAAAGTGAAAAAATGACAAATATGTTAATTTTTAAAATATGTACTTTAAATCAAAGAGGCTTGACTGACAATGTTTGGGAGTCTGGGCTATAGCAAATGCTTAAGGGGTAGATGTGTATTCAATTTTGAAGTCTAATGTAAACTGAAGTCTGTTGTCACTTATTAAAGGTGTTGTTGCTGGTGGTGGTCGTATTGACAAACCCATCCTGAAGGCAGGACGTGCGTACCACAAGTACAAAGCCAAGAGGAACTGCTGGCCTCGTGTCCGTGGTGTGGCTATGAACGTAAGCAAACTTTATTTTTATTTCTTCGTGATTACAGGTTATTTCCGATTCTGAATAGTTGCCTAAATGCTGGTTTTAAATCTGACCTGTGCTCTTTGCTTCTCCAGCCTGTTGAGCATCCCTTCGGTGGTGGTAACCATCAGCATATTGGCAAGCCCTCAACAATCAGGAGGGACGCGCCCGCTGGACGCAAGGTTGGTCTCATTGCTGCCCGTCGCACTGGCAGACTGCGTGGAACAAAGACTGTCCAGGACAAGGAAAACTAATGTGTATCTTCATAATAAAATGTCCAAACAAAGTCATTTGCCTCTTGACGTCTTTATCAGTTATTACTGTTTCTATACTAACACCATCCAGAAGTTTAGTCAAATTTAAAAAAAAAAATGCTTGAGAATGGCATATAGGATTGCAATTTTACCCGTTACATGTTAAACCCTTGTTATAAGTGAACCTTTTTTTTCTCTTTAAGTTAAAGTGGAAGTGATAAGTTTATATAACTTCAATTTCTACAGTTCCAACATGGTACATTAGTATGGGGCTGTGGTTTTTTGATTCGCTCCAGGGTTACCTCATGAATAAAGACTTCCTACTGTCAGGAAAGACCTAAAAATATTGTTACTTTATAGTTGTATACAGACCTGAAGGGTCATTTAAAATGTAGTGAATATTATAAATATCAAATTATTGTAGTCATATTTAGATCAACTAGAAACACGTTTTAAAAAAAAACAATTCTAAATATTTTAAAATCATTCTCGCCGGTAATCATGAGTGACAAAAATGTTGATAACATTAAATCAAGGGTATGGGAAATTATAGAATCACCCACTGGTCTTGTAGATGACGAGACATAAATTTAAGACTGTATATAGCTAATAATGACAAGAACTTCAGTTGTATTTATAAATAAAAACTAACTACTTTCTACGAGTCATATCCATGTCTGGGCACCAAGACAAATTTCCAGTGCCATCTCCTCAACCAGAATCACTTCACTGCTTGATGAAAAAGAAAGTTCTCACCCTGCATATTTTGAGATTGGCCTTATGGGTGTCATTTAGGCTGGTTAAGAATGGCAGATGAACTATGCAACCTATCCAATAGGAAGAACAATTAAGTGTTCTCAGGAATCTGTTGAAGTATTTGCATTGCCTTGGAACTTAAATGTGATTAGATATTAAATTCCAAGAGATGTACAGGTTTAAGCAAAAACCATTTCCTATAATTCAGCCTACAGTAGTATTACCATGTAGGTTTAATGGATTGCTCGGTCTCTTTTCTGATCAGACTGAAAATTAAAAAAACGCTTAAAGTGGATTGTTTTGGAATAGCAGTCCAAACTGGTTTAAAACAAGCTTAAGCGAATTCTTTTCAACTAAAAAAAAAAAAACACTCAGGTTTATAAGCATGTTATAGCAATTTCATAGAAATACTCCCATTCTCCTAGGTGACCTGAAATATGTTTTCTTATTTGTCAGCAATATCCTATGTATTATTATAAAGGCATTTTAAAATCTTAATACCTGACACCCCAACACGCATGATTGCAATCACATTTTTCATTTTTTGTGCCAATAGAGCCATGCACTCTACAGTGAATATAATGTACTCGAAACAATCAATACATAAAAATATATGGCAGCTTTGAATCTTCACAATAACAGACAGACATTTTCCAGATTTCTTTTCTTTATTCTTGAAGGGCGCAATGCTTTTCTCTAATAGTTCTGTGCACAAAAACCTCACAAGGTGAAAGTCAACATTGTGACTGTGGCTTCAGAATTCAACGTCACATCATGGCCAAAACAAAAGTCGGCAAAAAACAGGGCGAAGAACTCTGTACAGTCAATAATCTTTAAAAATAACACAAGGACAAAAATGTTCCTCTTAAATCAAATTCTATTTTTCCTTTTAGTGAAATACAACAAAATAAATTCTATAAAATTAAACAGCAAAATATTTAAATATATGATGGGCAGAATATTTTCACTTGCAGGAGTATTTGGTATTTTTCCAACAAAACTCGAGAAGAAAAAAAAAGCATTCAAGTTACCAATAAAATACATACAGTATCTACTGATGTTTACTCCTTTAATCCAAGAGACTTTACTAACTGAAGTTGCAACATGACTAACCAGCAGTTATTTTATGGTACAACCCCGCTTTTACGTTCGCTCTCCTTAAATGAAGAATCCCCAAACAGTCTCTTTTCGAGTACACGAATGTGAACAGGGATCATGAAGTCAGGCGATCGACCAAATTGCCAGGAGGTCATTTGTCTGACGCAAAGGTCAAGACAAATAAAGCAAAACGCATTGTCCACTAATGTTCCAGACATCCTGCCATGAACTGTTGCATATCTTTTCTCTTTCTAAAATTCCTATCATCAAAACCTAAGCATTTATCCCATCAAAAAAAGCGACAGCCAAATATTTATCGGAGGAAATGTGTGCAATTGTAAAGCCACTTCTTGCATTGCTTCAAAAACATCAAATCTAGAAGAGCATATGGAGTAGGAGACCAAAAAGAGGGCCCTTCCGAATCACTGGAGAAAGAAAAATCGCAGAATTGCCCTTCGGCTATACTAGTTTGATGTGAAGCCATGCTAAGATGTTACAGCGTGTCAGCTGGAGCTTTCAAATTATTGAATTACCAGAAAAAGAAAAAAGGCAATAGGAATTTCCAGAATAAAGTTGCATCACCCCATTCACATCAACTAAACATCAAGATCATCACCCAACCATCCCATCGTTTACAAACTATGGCTAACTCTTGCTCACGAGGTGCCATAGCCGGTTAAGATTCGACATGAATATAATGTATGATCAAAAGCAGAATGACCCAAATGGCCCAAACCTTACTACTGAGCATAGGGTAAAACGGGGATATTTTTTTTTGTCTTTCACCGTTGTGTATTTGCATCTTTTTTTGTGGTTTTTCCATTTTCATAAATCTGCAGTCTCCCAACAGCAATCACACACGCGGTTGCTTTTGAACAGTCAAAACATTAACACAGTATGTACACCTCTGTCATGAGACAAGTGCGACAGGCCCGTTTTATTACTACAAACAATATGCACAGTCCACTGCAAGTTACACTTTTGACAGTTAATACTGTCGAGCAGACGGTGAAGAGACTCTCCACTCCTGGGTTAGAAATTGAGGGAAGCTTAATGTTCTGGTTACACGGGCTCTGGAGTAGATCAGCATGGTGGGGCCTGGCCTTACTCTGGATTCGAGTATCTCGCTGGAGAACTCAGATGGAGGACAGTGTGACAACATATTGTTAGTCTTTAGTCTGACTGGGCGGCACCTCCTCAGGGGGCTCCCAGTTCTCTTGTGCTCGTGGGCCTGGACGCTGAGGGTTGTTGACGTGCTGTGCTGCAGGACCAGTGTACGGCTGCGTATGCGGGAGGTTATTCTGCTGAAAAGACAAGAAAAATCAAATGATTACATGACAACCAGAAAATACATATGCTTTAGAAGTGATGTGACATGTGGCCAAGTATGGTGACCCATACTCTGAATTAGCGCTCTGCATTTATCCCATCCAAAGCGCGCGCGCACACACACACACACACGCGGTGAACACACCCAGAGCAGTGGGCAGCCATTTTTTGCTGCGGTGCCCGGGGAGCAGTTGGGGGTTCGGTGCCTTGCTCAAAGGCACCTCAGTCGTGGTATTGAAGGTGGGAGAGATTCCTGTACATTCACTCCCCCCACCTACAATCCCTGCCGGCACGAGACTCAAACCCCGCAGCCTTTGGGTTACGAGTCCGACTCTCTAACCCAGGGGGGGCCCAACCCTGCTCCTGGCGATCGACTGTCCTGCAAAGTTTAGCTCCAACTCTAATCAAATACACCTGCCTTCAATTTTTAAGTGATCCTGAAGACATTAATTAGTTGCTTCAGGTGTGTTTGATTAGGGTTGGAGCTGAACTTGGCAGGACAGTCGATCGCCAAGAGCAGGGTTGGGCACCCCTGCTCTAACCATTAGGCCACAACTTCCCCAGACTTTACTCAGATTTGTAGATGCAATTATATAACAGCTGACACTTATTTAAAAGGTGACTTGTGTAACAGATTCAGAGCATTTAAAAGTTAGTGAAAAAAAATACTCCAAAACTGGAGTAAATATGAAAGCCATTATTCGGCAAAAACAGGTAAAATAAGACAAATGTATCCAAATAAACCGCCATTTAAAAAAAAAAATCAATTTTGTGCTCGTGGGCCTGGACGCTGAGGGTTGTTGACGTGCTGTGCTGCAGGACCAGTGTACGGCTGCGTATGCGGGAGGTTATTCTGCTGAAAAGACAAGAAAAATCAAATGATTACATGACAACCAGAAAATACATATGCTTTAGAAGTGATGTGACATGTGGCCAAGTATGGTGACCCATACTCTGAATTAGCGCTCTGCATTTATCCCATCCAAAGCGCGCGCGCGCACACACACACACACACACACGCGCGCACACACACACACGGTGAACACACCCAGAGCAGTGGGCAGCCATTTTTTGCTGCGGTGCCCGGGGAGCAGTTGGGGGTTCGGTGCCTTGCTCAAAGGCACCTCAGTCGTGGTATTGAAGGTGGGAGAGATTCCTGTACATTCACTCCCCCCACCTACAATTCCCTGCTGGTACGAGACTCGAACCCGCAGCCTTTGGGTTACGAGTCCGACTCTCTAACCCAGGGGGGGCCCAACCCTGCTCCTGGCGATCGACTGTCCTGCAAAGTTTAGCTCCAACTCTAATCAAATACACCTGCCTTCAATTTTTAAGTGATCCTGAAGACATTAATTAGTTGCTTCAGGTGTGTTTGATTAGGGTTGGAGCTGAACTTGGCAGGACAGTCGATCGCCAAGAGCAGGGTTGGGCACCCCTGCTCTAACCATTAGGCCACAACTTCCCCAGACTTTACTCAGATTTGTAGATGCAATTATATAACAGCTGACACTTATTTAAAAGGTGACTTGTGTAACAGATTCAGAGCATTTAAAAGTTAGTGAAAAAAAATACTCCAAAACTGGAGTAAATATGAAAGCCATTATTCGGCAAAAACAGGTAAAATAAGACAAATGTATCCAAATAAACCGCCATTTAAAAAAAAAAATCAATTTAAAATTTTTTGAAAAAAATACTTATTTAGCAGGGACACAATAAAATCAAACAAACCTGAAATAAATTGTACATAAATTAGAGCTGTCGATTTAATGTGTTAATATAATTAGTTACGGAAAACAAAAGAACGTTAAAATTAATGCAATGAACATACCTGCCCAATGTACATTATTTTACATTTCATAAACCTGCAGAGACGTCTGTTCTCGTGGTACTGTGTCATACACCGATTGGTCTGTGCAGCACCACTTCAAGTCAAACACACCTATCCCCCTTATTTTTCCCGTAAGAGCGGGAGTGGCCATTTGTAAATTTAACCTGCAAGGCTTCCAGTGTCATTCGCGTCCAGCTATTTTTAGCTGTACAAAACCGCTAATTTTGCTGCTTGACATTGCAAACTAGTGTCTTACCATGTTATTTTAATGTTTAATCTTAATTACAAACACACTTGTTTGTAGTGCAAACAGTTTTACAGTTTGGACACAGTTTGTGTTTTATCCAGTTGTGGAAAAGTTGTGGACAGGCACAAGTCAGGAGATGGATACAAAAAAGTAAAAGGCTTTATAAATGCCTAGAAGCACAGTGAAGTCTATTATTAAGCAGAAGGTATTTGGTACAACACAGACCCTCCCCTAGATCAGGACATCGCTCCAAACTGGATGATAGAGCCAGGAGGAAACTGGTCAGAGAGGCTACCAAGAGGCCTACAGTAAAGGCCTCCACAAACGGTCAACATCAAATTTAACTGAACTTGAGCAGTACTGCAAAGAAGAATGAGCAAATATTGCAGTCTAAATGCGCAAAATTAGTAGAGACGGAGACATATCCCAACAGATTAAAAGGCTGCAATTAAAGCAAAAGGTGATTCAACAAAATACTGACACAAGGGGATAGTCCTTTTTCCAACTCAGTGATTGTTTTTTTTTTTTGACATGTTGGTGTTATATCTTTCACTTGGATGTTATAAAATGCACTGAGTAAATACAGCCTGACAAAACAAAAACTGTCGGCCTTCATTTCAGGCTGCAAAGCAACAAAATGTGATTCTTTTAAAGGGGGTGATTCTTTTCTATACCCACTGACTTAAGACATTTACTGCCACTTATCAGCGGTTTTATTTTCTTATTTAGATCATTTCATTAAAAATAATTTCACATTTGCATGAAGAATTCTGAAAATTAAAAAAAAAAAAATAAATTAAATAACTAAAGGGATAGTTCACCCAAAAATGTTATATCTTTAAAGCTTAAAATTTTCTAAGAGATTTTGAAAGCTTTAGGCTGCATTTACACTACAAGTCTTAATGCACAGATCCGATCTTTGACCTGTCTGTTTACATTCACTTTAGACAACTAGTATCAGATATCGGTTTACACATAATTGCCGCCCAAAATGATGTCAATGATCGCTTTACTATGCACATGGTAGACCCTCAGGTTTTGAATGACCTTGGTTTTAAAATGTATATAATACACGTCAAGTGGCCATTATTTGCCAGCATGGACAACAGCTGTCATGGATGTTTTGCAGCACAAAATCTGACTAAACGGATAAATAACGGTAATTTTCATTTGTTAGGCTATTTTATCTACAGCTTGTTAGAGGTGGAATTTTTTAGTGAAAAAGTAGCGCAAAGATGATATTTAAATGAATTAATGAACGAGAGAGGGAGAGAGCAAGTGAAAGTTCACGTCATTGCTAAAAAATATAATGTAGCTTTAGCAAAGCTGTTGTATTTATAAAATTCATGGGGCATGGGTTGAAAACCAGCTCCCGAACGTGCAATTTCTTACCTAGCCTACATAAAGTTTCCATCTAAATAAAATGTGAGCGCATGCACATCTGGCAAACGCATTGGGAGTTCTGCGGGGATTCGGATGTGTGCGTTTAGACGTAGGTCAGATGTCCAGATATCGGATATGTATCAGATTAAAATCCACATTTGGAAGTGGCTCAGATCGGACGCGAAAAAATCAGATCTTGTGCAGATTTTTGTTTTACGTGTACGCAACACATTCCGATCTGTGTTCGATGTGAGCAAAAAAATTTGATTTTTTGTGCCACAGTAAATGCAGCCTTAAAATCCTTGGCCTTCAAATATCAATTTACCAAATCAACAACAAACTTAAATCATGAGGGGCTTTGAATGCCTTTTTAATGTGAGGTCACAGTACAACCAGAGCATGAGTTTGCAGTGAAGAAAGCTTATGAAACTCTTCAGAATGGTACTTCTAATTCACAAATACATTATATGGTTTAAGAGAGGTTGAGTAGTATGAGGCTTGTGTGACTGTGAAGCTCAGTACCTGTTGAAACTTTGTGCCCGGAGAGTGAGGGTAGAGAGCAGTGTCCTCTGGAGGAGAAGTGTCCTGCTCATCAAGGGCCTCCTGCTCATCAGGCTCCTAAAATCACCATCAAAAATAATGTTGAGTGCTAGATATACACAATACATCTACATACGATATAATTAAATATAAATCTGTTTGCTTAATACTAACTAAACCAGGGATGTGTGTGAACAATGTCCTCTATAAAGAGTCCCTTTCAATATAAAACCCATTAAACATACAAAGTCAATACAACAAGAAAGCTCAAGGCTTTATAGGTTTGATTTATACGAACAAGGCAAATTACTTAGGGGACTTTAAGACAGTGAAATTCACTGACAGATGAGGGAACACCATAAATGGACACCACATCTACTACACACTCTTATACTTCAATTTGACAAACTTTTCCAAACTAAAGGAAGCTTCTGATGACAGACAGGAAATTGCCCATGGATTAATTGATTAGTGTGGTGACTTATGCTAAACACTTCCTCCTGAACATTGTGTTCTTCCTCAGAAAAAGTTAATCATCAGAATGGAATACAAAACTAACACCACTTCCAAATTTGCAGTCACACAAATACTTCTCAGAAGTGCAAGAGGTTTTCAGATCAGATGACCAGAACAAGTCACATTCCCAAAATAATAACCGACTCAAAACACCACACAAAATTACCTCAAACTCATCTGTACACTATAGCCAAGGCTTAGAGTTTTCGATCACTTAGTTACCACATTAAGACTTATAATTGCGTAGAAAGAAACAGTTTGGACACACGGAGATGAAGACGAAATAACAGTTGATTTATAGTTGTTTTTGAGGGAGGTGGAAGATGGTTCTGCCTACATCACACCCTGTGAACACCAAAAAGAGTTACGCAGATGGCAACAGTGTGGCCGGGCCATACGAGTCTTACGGTGTGCTGTTGTTGGCCTGTCACTTCCCCTGGCAAAAGTTGTTGTGTTGAGGACGGATTCCGGCCAGCGTCCTCTTCAGATACCCCCTCGTGCTTCGTTAAGTGACACTATTTTGAAACGGCAGTTAATATTGCATACTGTTTCAACAAATTATGCATCTATGGCTGCATACATTTAACATTTGTGGAAATCTGCTATTGATTAAAGCAAGCGATTTATTCCTGCAAATTAATAGAAATGGCTTTAAAAAAAAAAACATCTATGGCATGAAATCAAGCGTAAATATAATTAAACTTAAATTTGTGCAAATATCAACAGCATTTATAATTGCTTTGCATTATGAAAATGAAAACCGAAATAAAAAGAAAATGAAATAAAAAGTCGAAAACTCAAAGCCCTACCTATAGATAAACGTGGCTATTTAGCACACTAAACACTTCTAGATTCTTCAAAATTGCTTTCCTAAAGTTAAACATTTGATGTGTGTGCGCCTGCCCATCATACAGTCATGGTGTGAGATTTCAGTGCAGATTTTGAAAAGAAAAAAGGTTGAATAAAGCGTTTCTCTACATTAAACCAACATGTTCATTATTTACTGAAGGGGTTCTATAAAAAGCAACCATGCAAAAATGTAAATACAAATGCAATAATTAAAAAGTCTCAACTAATGGGCAGAAGCACACATACATGATTGGACTTTTTAAACTAAACACATCGGCACTAATGTTGCAGAAAAAAAGGGGTACGCATGATATCACATACCTCTTCTGGGCACAACTCACAGGCCTTGGCTAAAGTCATACGGGCACTGTGAGAGCGCTCCAGAAAGTATCCATTAGAAGTCTCATTGCTCTGGACAGGAGGGGACCAGTTATTATAAGTGTACTGGGTATTGCCAGTGTATGGTCTACGTTCCAGCTCGTCACCGAGCCACTCCACTGCCCAGGTCCACTTCCTCTTTAAATCACCATTACTCTGGAAAAAGTAAATCAATCAGTTTTTGTATATTAAAAACAACAAACCCATTCACATGCAAAGCCTTTCATTCTTAAGCGCACATTCTCACCTGGAGAATCTGATAGGCCACTGAGCAGTTGCTGAAAAGAGCCACCATGCATTTGATACACTGATAAGCTCTCTTTTGGTAGTGATTTTTGGAGCGCTGAATGGTGTCAAAAAGCCCATCACGATCATCAGGGATTCCCTTCAGCACATTGTGGATCCTAACAAACCATAAAAAAAGAGAGCAGAGCAGGACATCATTATGCAATCAGGAATTTAATTTATCTAAAAAGGAGGTCAAGAGGCCTAAAGATTAAGGACTTCACTCCAGGAACTAAATTGCAGTACTCAATTACCATTGTGCTCTTAAGAGTTTCAGGTTGTTCCAGGGTTTTGTCCTTGTAAGCTGGTTCACATAAAAGGCATTTGCTAAATATGAAGTGGAAAGATAGACTGACCTGTGAGTCTGCCATGAGTCTTCAATAAACAAGATCTGAAGGAGCAAGTCCAGGTAAGGCCTTAACTCATACGTGTATGAATATGCCACCTACACAAAAACACCAACATTTAGAACCATCCTTAGACAATCAGAAAAAATAAATACTTATCAGAAACATGGCTAGACGATACAGCAAAATGTATATATTTAACATCAACCAGGCCATGTATGTATGCTTAAGAGCTCTGAATTCATGAACAGACCGTTTGTACTGATTCACAGACCTTTCAAACTCCAACAGCATTATGCTACTTCAGTTTAAATCAGATGCTATTAAAATAGTTGTCTAACTTCTCTCATTCTCACAATTTGCAAGAAAAGGAGATAGCAGAAAACTAGTGAATGGCCAAATAAAATGTGCATTATCATCACAAAACGTAATTGCAATATTCACAAATGTTGCATAAAGCTGCAGTCCGTAAGTTTTGCCTCTTTGTCGCCATCTCTGTTTGAAAACCTGGAATTGCAGCTGTGTGCGGAATTATCTAGCTTGCGTGGGTTGCGAGTCGGCACGGCCCCAGCGCGGATTAATCTAATGTTCTGAAGAGTATGTGTGGCAGTCAGTCACTGCACCGGTGTGGATATTTACTGTACTTCGCAATCACAGATTCTAGCCTACGTCTTGGAATATGACCCAAATAAGAATTTTTACTGTACATTGCCATCTGAACAAGTAACAAGTCTGCCACGTTTGTTTTGACCGAGGAAAAAAGCAGTAACACAAATCTCGCTACCAATGGTGATTAAATCTAAAGATCGGTTAGCTCATATCACATCAACCCGTTCAAATTATTATTACTGTTATACTTTATTCTCAAATGATTTATGTTAACAACATCAGCATTGGTGACTTTGAGTATAGTGTGTATTAGCGTGTAGACTTACACGCTAAAAAAATAATAATAATAAAGTTACGGACTGCAGCTTTAAATTGTAAATAGTCTTTTGAAAGACAAATGCTGGTGATCCCTCTCACCTGCCACAGTAGTTCACTCAGCACAGTGGAGGAAAACTGAGGGTTTTCCCAACAGCAGAATCTCAGCAGTTTGATAGTGTCCTCTGAGTTACTGCAGTCCTCGATAATCTTCTTCACATAACTGGTACGCACAAACAGGATGTCCACCACCACCTGCTGCAGAGGCATGATGGGTGCGGTGATGTTGGGGTCACCATATGGGTTTGGCAGGGGAGGGTTTCCTAAAAATGTCAACATGTGGAAATATCAGCTCATACCCTGGCTGGTGGTCTGGGAAGAAGGGGAGGAAAATTTTCTTTTTGCATGCAAATAATTGGTGTCAATAGATCAAGCTTCTAAAGCATAATGGATGATGTTGAAACACTACGTATTTGAAGGTTGTATTGGCTTGACAAAAATAAATAAATAAAAAGTGCTTTTCTGCTTGTTTCTCTGTAAATGCCCTCAGCTCCAAGCAATGCCAACCAGGCAGATGCCTGGAGATGGCTTTGTGTCAGTCAGGAAGTCCTGAGCAAGGATGAGCATCTTCATTGGGCAATGGGGACCAAAACTACATGTGAAATCCTACAGACCATTTTGTTGTGTATCAGAATACACACATTTAGCAGCAAGGTATAAAAACGCTCACCGTTGATTGAGGACTGCATACGTGACGTCACATCACAGCAGCGAACCAGCTGTGAGACGACAGTATAGAGCTTTCCGAGCTCAGCATACTGGTACTTAATAGGAGGGCCGGGGCCCTCATCCAAAGCCACAAGCATGAAGGTAGCTGGTACCCCGAGCTTCAACAGCTGCGTCTTCTCTGCCAAGCCTTAGAGAAGGAAATGGAGTGAGACAAGACAGCACTATTGCATGCAAGCCTGTACGGATGCAGACCTTAAGGGTGTCGAGTGGTTCTTACCAAGGTTGGCATACATGACGAAAAGGCTGAAGTACTGCTGCAGGTGACGGCCATGCTCAGACACTTCCCTTCTCAGCAGATTAAGTATGGCACGGAACAAGTGCTCACTCAAACTCAAATTATCACAGCCCTGAGACAAAAGGACAAATAATGTAAAATGTACAACAACCTATGGACTGAGTTCCAAATTCCCATGAATGAGGGAAGCCTAGATTGAAGAGATGTACCTGACTTGAAGGTCCAGGTGAGGCAATCGGTGAAGGGCAGGGTCCATCTTGCAGGGAGAAATGTGCAATAAATACAATGAGTTTGGAGAAGGCCCCTCGAACCTCTGCACTGGGACATTCAAGCAGGTACTCGGAGAAGCGGTTCGGATATGCAAAGAGGACGTTCTGTGCAAACCAGTAACGCACATTCTTACTGTGTCGTAGCAAGATGCACAGAGCATCATACCTGAAATAAAAGAAACATTGATTAACAAGGATCAACTAAAGGTTGAAGGCAAACATGTGCATGATAAACAAATCACATGCTTACCAGTCACTAGCAGGGCCACGGACGATTTTCTTTGTGTGGAACCCAGTGCTGAAGAGAAATCTAGCCGCGAGCTGTATACTAATCATAGCCATTTCTTCTGCTTCAGGCAAAAGGTGGTCTTGACCTAAAAGCCACAAATAATCGTTAATGCTACAATAGCTTTCACCATCTCCTAGAATAGATTATTCTGCAGCAGCAACAACAGGAGTCTGATGTATAAGGAGGAAAAAGGAAATCCATTTCCCAAACACGCACAGTTAGACATCAACAGCAACACTGATGAAGCTAAAAGTGGAAAAAAATAAAAATAAAATGTTTTCTGTAGGATCATGTGAGACCGAGGACTGCAGTAATGGCTGTTGAAATATCAGCTGTGACATCACAGAAATAAATTATATTTCATAGCATAACAAAAGTTTTAAAATTGTAATATTTCACAATATTCCTTAAATAAATCAAATAAATGCAGCCTTGGTAAACCGAAGACGACACTTCAAAAAAAATCTTACCAACCCCACATTTTTTACATAAATATATAACTTTAGTTACATTGTCTCATTTTTGAAATAACCAAATATAACAATATTTTTGTTTAATCTTAAGGTATTAATACAACTTATTTTTAATATCAGGTGAATATCAAGGATGTGGAGAAACTTTTCGCTCAATAAGATACAAGAAAGTCAAATTCTGCTTTTTATACATTTATCAAAGAAACAGATTGATAAAATGAATCACATGTTGCAGCCCTGATCCCATCTACAACAGAGGAGAATACAGCAAGGTCAATGGCTGGATTTACCTGGCGGTGAGTTCAAGTAGACACTGTTACAGGTCAGCAATTTCCTGATGAACTGGAAGTACTCCAAGCTGTACTGCATACGGTTGTGCATAAACTGCACATTTTGTTTGCGCACACTGCGTTCAATAGCAGAGGGCATCTTCACCTGGTAAGGTTTGCTGGTCACTGTCAGCTCAGTGATGTATTTAACTAGCTCGCTATCCTTGTCTAATGTGTCCATTCGCTCATAAAAGAGAATGTAGGCGTTCCACCAGCGCTTCTGTCGCCTATAGGACATGCGTTTCATCATGTGGTCGAAGACCTCGCCCATGTACTCTCCACCAAAGCACTGGTTCTTCATCTCCTCGTCATCGTCCATCTTGCATTCAGTGACGTCACCATCGTCAAACTTGTACCAACGGTTCCTTTCTCCCTCACAACCACTGCCGTTCCTCTGAATGATGTAGGAGTAATAATGACCTCCACTAGCCTGGCCTGAGTGGACCAGAACTCCCACCAAACGATAGCGAGAGCTGCAGGGGGGTTCCGGCTCCGACGGCTCATTCTGCTGGATCACCTCCTGCTAAAGACAGTTTCAAAACTTCAGCTAAAAAAATATTTCCAAATTACATTTATATGAATTAGACAACTTTAAGACCACCAAAGAAAGTGTAATACCTGGTTCTCTGGGTGCACATCAGACCCCTCCAGCTTAGCTACTCCAGCTACTGTATAGGGCTCCATGTCTAACTCCCGTGGGAACTCAAAGTAATCATTGAACTTGATGGCACACTCTCGTTCCCAGTCATAATCAAAGCGTTTCAGCTGGATGGCCAACACCGGAGGAAACTTCTTAATGAGTAAACGTTTCACTGTGTCCACCTGTCATGTAGACACCATCTTGAGCTTAATATAGTCCTCTTAATTAACAACAAAAGACATCCTAAAGATAAATAAAAACAGAAAGCACACCTTCTTGTTGCATTTTTCACAGTGATAGGCATTTGCACCCTCGAGCAAGTCTCCTTTCACGTACTGCTCCATAGAATCAATTAGATTTTGATGGTTTCTGATATCTACATTCAACGTCGTAAACGATTCCTCACATTCATATCTGAAAAGACATTATGGAGTGTGTTACACTGGGACACAGATTTTCTAAGAATAAAAAAAAAAAAAAATCAATATTAGATTTCCAATGTACCTGTGAGGACAGCCCTGACATATTTTCTGGTCAGCAAAAGAGCCACCCAGTACTTTACTCAGCATGGCAGGGTGACCCAATGCTTTCAAAGACTCGTCTAGACTGTCTACCAGTGAGTTAAAGAACTCCAGGGCATCATGCTGTTCCCTCAGATTGACTGGTTCACCCCACAACCTGTAGAAAGAATAAAGAGGCCAGTTTAGAGAATTGCGCCTTGTTCAGTAGTCTTAAAAGAAAGGAGGATTACATAAAATAGAGAAGGTGAATTTACCGAAATTGCTTCCAGAATCCCCTAGGCACGTAATATTGCAACCTGGAGGCAGCCAAGTGTCCAAAAATGACCTGCAACTGCCGAAGAACCCCAATGTTGTATTCCTTCCTGTCTTCCGACTTACCGAGAGAAGGTTTGTCTTCAAACTGGTGCTGATAGCCAAACACCTCATCCCGTGGATCCACATTACTCTGCAAAATTAAACTTTTGTTAAAATGCCCTCAGCTCCAGGGAGTGCCCACATGGCATATACACTCCAGAGACGGCTAAATTTGTCAGTCACTTGGTACTGAGAAAGGATGACCATCATCATTGAGCATGTACAACATCATTTAAATTTAAACGACATTAACGGACATCAGAAACTAAAAACACAACCTCTCTAGGAACAATCCACTATGTGTTCTTCCAGAACAACAAGTGCAAGAGTAGTAAACACTCTCTGGGTTAATAAAGCACACACCTGAGCTTAATTATATTAGGAAATGATAAGCCACACCCCTCCACATGAGCTGTTCCCTAGGTATTCCTACTCCCATTCTTATTCACCATGATTGTGACAGATGCTAACAGCCCATTACAAATTTCCTTGCTTCAACATGCAATGCGCCAGTGTTACTGTTAACTAAAACTATTAAAAAGTTATTTTTGTTAATTGAAACAAAGTTGAAAATATATATATCTGAAAAACAAATATTAGATGAAAAATCTGTCTTGTTTAAATGTTTAAGTACTAAGAATACTAAAACCAGAATTAAAGCTAAACAGAATTTAAAAATCAAATTTAATACTAAAACTATTAAAATAACACAGTCTGAGACTCCGGAAATGAACCATGTACCTCATTATCTTGCTTCTCGTCTCCAGACATATCATCATCCACATCACTGCCCGTGCCTTCAATGGCCAGGATGCCATTCCTGATAGGAGGAATCATGTAGAGCTGCTGGATCACTGAGTTCATGTAGCAAGTCGCACCTGCATTTTTCAGACCCACAAACCCCTTAGTGGGCCTTGGGCCAACTGGCGGCAAATACTCCCATTCTGTAAGTGGTTCACAACCTAAAGGTACACAAAAAAAAAAAAAAGTTATTAAAAAAAAAAAAAAACTAAATATTTATATATCATAAAAACTGATGGGGCTGAGTGCACTGTATCTAGGAATCAGTATCTGCTACACTTCTAACATCACACACACCTAAATAGTACATATCAGTTAGTGTGTCCACAATCTGCTTGAGATTTCGCACACATCCGACAGCAAGTGCAACCAGCAGTTCAAAGCCGGCATTGATTGTGGCTGGGGTGCTACACACAGGTATGGCCTGCTCAGTGGGGAATTCTCCACTCTTCATATATTGCAGGTACACATTAGATGCTGGGAACAGGAAGTCATCCATTAACTCCTATACAGTGCATGGAAAACAAAGGAAGATCAATTAGTCTGATATGGCAATGCAGTGGCAAAAAAAAAAAAAAGAATTTTTTTTTTTTGTTGTTGTAATTAAGCAAAAGTGGCCAATACGTTTACCTTGATAAGACTAGCGCCTCCTTTTTCACAGCCAATGTAGAACTTCTTCTCTGGGGTCTGGAATGCTAGTAGCTCTTTTGTGACACCAATATGACCTTCCAAAATTGTCTCCTCAACCCCAGGCTCTCCGGTCCTCTTCACTTCATCCTGGGAAAAAAAAAAAAAAAAAAAAAAGTCAAATTTTTCACACACTAAAGTTTACACCATTTTTATTTCAAAAAGAAGTTTAGGTAAACAAACATACCCGGATGCGCTTTAACCAGTCAATCTCATTGTTTAAGAGAACTTCTGCATTAGGAAGATTAATGTTGCTGTTATATGCATAGTTGAGTAAGTGCCTAAGAAGAGTGAAGTAATCAGCAGCATGCTTTGCCCGCTCTTTTGCAGTGCTCTGGAACACAAAAGGACAGCATAAATATGACTACAAATAATGAGATGTTCCGAATTAACAACAACAACAACAACAAAAAAATGCCCAACTGTGTCCCAAAGAAATATACAAGACACTTACACCTAAAACTGTGAAGAGGAGGGTGATGAAGAAGAGAAGAGGCCTATGGCCCATACAACATCGGGTGGCCATAAGGAAGAACTGTTCTTGGGCCATTTGACGAACAGACCTAGAAACAAGTAACAGTACGCATTGAATTAATTTCAAGTTCAAACATTCAATCCCTCAATAAGCACTGGTAAACTTTAGGACCATACTGTAATTTTACATGGCTTTAATGTTTAATTAATTTACACAACATTTAAACAATAAATTAAATATATAATTAAACATTAATTTTTTAAAAAACATTTCTGAAAGTCTGGTAACTTTATATAAAAATAGTTAAAACAAAGCATATTCATTTTATTGAAAGTTACAAAGTTCAAAAGCAACAGCAAAACAGGAATAACAGTACTCTATTTTATGATAACTCACTTGCTCTGGCAGTGCAGCAGCAGATCTATAATGAAGGTCTGCCAGGCCTTTTCTTTGCTAAGTGCATCTAGTGCAGTGGGCATAAGGGCGAAACACAGGGTCATGACCTCCAGAGCTTCACAGCACACCTGCTCATCTTCTGTATCCGGCTCATTGCCAGCATTTGTCTGCAGGAGATCACACATTACAGGCATAAATACTGATACTGATAATACTGAATCTGATTCTAATGAATCACATATAGGGTTTTTCAATATAGCTAAGAGCTAGCACCTTCTCGTAGATCTTGCTGATCTCCTCATTAGAACTGAAGACGTGCTGAACAGAGCCACAGCCAGAAGCCCAGACTATCTTCTGAACCGCTCGAATGACACAGATATCTGGGATGTACTTTGAGGCCTGGAAGAAGTTCTGGGTACAGGACGAGAAGGACAAACTAAGAAAACTGAGCCTGAAACATGAGGTGTTTCCTCAGTTATTTACCTTTGTACAACTCTTTTATTACACACAAAGCAAAAAAAGAGGTTTCAACAAAACACTTTGTGACCATAAAATAGATTAGACATTTTTATTCAAGGTAGCGGAGGACATTTATTCGAACAATGCAAACAAACCAGTTTCTGTAGGCGATGATTGTGTGGTATTGTATAACATACCTCATCTGAGATCTGTTGGGCGAGGCGGATGGCCACGTTCCGCAGCATGCACTCGGCGGAGGGGTTGGGGATATTCTGCAAGGCATTCTGTAGCACTAGAGCCTGGTCATGTGTGGTCTGGTTGATCTATGAATGAATTAGAAAAAAAAAAGTGTTCTCTTGCAGATTCATGCTAGGTCTTTAATGCACGTTTATCACTTTCAGTCTCTTTTTTGCAGTTTATTTCACCGGGATAAATTTTTTCAGGAGTCTTTGATGAATAGAAAGTTCAAAAGAACAGCATTTATTTAAAATAGAAATCTTTTGAAACACAAATGTCTTTACTGTCATTTTTTATCAATTTAACACATTCCAGCTAAATAAAAGTATTAATTCCTTTAAAAAAGATTTACTGAGCCCAAAATTTTGAACAGTAGTGAAGTTGATCACAATGTGTATTGTTAAGTGAGTTAGATACACTAATGCGGTTTCAAAGGTATAAACATAACACTTTGGTTTAACAACCCTGTCTGTGCAAAGTTAGAATCTGCAAAGCACTGTTTAAATGCAGCAAACTCTACCCAACATCGGTAAAAACTTCAAATCATGTTTTTTTTAACTGAAACATTAAGTGCTTAAAATATACAAGCTTCACATTTCAGCTTGTGATGCAGTCAAAATCATGGTCAGTGTTAATTTCCAACCCTAGTAGTCATATAAATATTGTTCCACGACATGCATAGAAACATAATAAAATACAGTCAAATAAAGAGAAAATTGCATAATCAAAGTACATATAACTTTCCCCTTTTTCATGGTTATTACTCCCTCATGTAAATGCTTCTGGAGTCTGTGTGAGTGTTTCCTCACAAGACACTGTACACCCTTGACATTTGTGGAGCTGCATAGGGAAAGCCAGCCTGTTTGTAATGATTGATGAATGTCAGGGAGGCTGAAAGGTTACAGTCTTAAACAGAAATGAAACTCCGTGCTAAACCTATAAAATCCACTCAGCAAAAAAAAAAAAAAAACCCTTCACTTACTTCCTTGCTGCAAAAACACAATTCTGTTTGAAAAACTGCAAGCAAACTTTACTGTCCCATCCCCCCATAATTGGTCCTAACTAAATACTAAGGCTGTGCCAAGTGCACTTTTATGAAATGCGGTACTGGACAGAAGTGTAAAGCTAAGCACACAAGTGAACACAGGTTCACTTTTTGTCCCCGAGACACCAAGTCTCCCTTTTATGCCTTTGCTTCAGTTTTAAAATCTCAATATGATATGGAAATGTATTAAATAAACTGAGGGTCTAAGCTTTGGTCATTTTCTGTAAAGTAAATTTCATTGAAGGTATTGTGCTTATACTTTTCCTTGAAAGGAACAGTTAGGAGCTTAAGCAAGGGCAACTTACAGGCGATACAGGGATAGTCCCCTCCACCACAGGCTGGCAGGCCTCCGCCACAGACTTCACATGGCCAAAGCCTACAGCTGTGAGCAGCAGTTTGGCTATTTTTAGTGCGTTGAGATAAGCTCCCCGCCGGGTCTCCATGTCAGCATTTGGCAGGAAGTTATTTCTGGTCAGCATGCTCAAAACCAGGGGCAGGCCACCACTCTTCAAGAAGTTGTACTGGAAGTCACTAGCATCCTCGCCCAATGTCCCACTGGCAGGCATGAGCAAGGCGTACACCACCTGAGACACATAGAAACACTGCGTATAGCAAAGACTGATGCCACACAGAAAAAAGCCTTTTGGGACAATGTACTGTAACTGTTTTTGCAAATTAAAGTAAAATATAAATATTACATGAAAACAAATGAAAAAAAAAAACTCCTAAACAAACTAAAATAAACATGAAGCTAAATTTTAAAAAAAAAACTATTTTTCAAATTTTATTTTAATCATATTTTTTTAGTACTCCTAGTGTGTTTAACTGTTTGCTTCACATTTTGTCTTAATTGTATTACACTACTCAATGTATATATATGTATATATATTATTATAATTGTACACCAATTATCTGTATTTCTAATCATTGGAATGTTTTCAATCAGTTCAATAAAAATTGAATTATTGAATTGAATTACAATTCTGAAAAAAAAGTACATAAATAATCCTAAAATTATGCTGCTTTTGTGTGGTATGCACCGTGTTGGGTAAGTTACTGAAAAAAAGTAATGGATTACAAATGACTGATTACTACTTGAAAATTGTAATTTGATTACATTACTGATTACTGCATGTAAAAAGTAATCAGATTACTAATTACTTTACTTTCAAGTTACTTTGAAAACATATTTTAAAAAAAACACTACAAAGTGAAAATTCTAGTTCTTTCAGTAATTTAATATTGACTGAAAATATTACAAAGGCATGAAAACAGCAACTTGACAAAGATTTAAACCATTTCTAAAACTTAACATTCTTAGTATAAACCTGCCTAACAATGAAAAATGTATCTTTAAATGTGCCTATACAGTGTTTTATATACAACATTGCTTGCTGAGTGTAGGGTGTGTGTGTATGCTGGCTTAACTGTGTATAAAGGGTTAGTTCACCCAAAAATGAAAATTAGGCTGTTTTACACTCACCCCCGAGGCATCCTAGGTGTATATGACTTTCTTCTTTCAGACGAATCCAGTCGGAGTTATATTAAAAATTGTCCTGGCTATTCCAAGCTCTATCATTGCAGTCAGCGGGTGTTGCATTGCTTCAGTCCAAAAGAAGTGAAATAAAAAGCACCCATCCATAAAAATAAAATTAAAAAAAGTGTCTCACATGGCTCCGGGAGGTGAACAAAGGCCTCCTGTAGTGAATCCATGCGTTTTTGTAAGAAAAACATCAATATTCAAAACGTAATAATCACTTTAATGTAGCTTGCGCCAACAGTTGTACACGGAAGCAACTCCGGGCTTATGACGTAGCGCATGCGCCTGTGAGTCTTGTGAAAACCAACGTTTGTTTACAGGAGCAAAGGAAGCAGTTTTCTTACTTTAGCAAAGGAAAACCAGTCTCCTCTTGGCTTAAATCGAAATCCTCCGACATTCTTCTTTAAAAATCCTCGTTTTGTACTTCTAATTAGTGACCGTTGATTTATTTAGATTTCTCCCGAGCTTCCGCGTTCGTCACTTCTGACCGGCGCATGCGCAACGCTGACGTCTTACGTCATGCACCTGGAACTGCTTCCGTGTACAACAGTGAACGCAATCTAGATTAAAGTGATTATTACGTTTTAAATATGGTTATTTTTCATACAAAAAAAGCATGGATTCGCTACAGGAGGACTTTGTTAACCCCCTGGAGCCATGTGAGACTTTTTTTAATGTATAGGTGCTTTTTATTTCACTTCTTTTGGACTCGTACTACAAAAAATATCTGCATGAAAGCGGAGCTGAATGAGACGCAGATTGACTCTCAGCCAGCAGGTGGCGCTTAAAGCGTTATTTAGATTTCTCCCGAGCTTCCGCGTTCGTCACTTCTGACCGGCGCATGCGCACCGCTGACGTCTTACGTCATGCACCTGGAACTGCTTCCGTGTACAACAGTGAACGCAATCTAGATTAAAGTGATTATTACGTTTTAAATATGGTTATTTTTCATACAAAAAAAGCATGGATTCGCTACAGGAGGACTTTGTTAACCCCCTGGAGCCATGTGAGACACTTTTTTTAATGTATAGGTGCTTTTTATTTCACTTCTTTTGGACTGAAGCACTGCAACACCGGCTGACTGCAATGATAGAGCTTGGAATAACCAGCACAATTTTTCAGGAAAGAAGAAAGTCATATACACCTAGGATGCCTCGGGGGTGAGTAAAACACAGCCTAATTTTAATTTTTGGAAACTTTTCTAAAGACAGTAAGTTCCCCTCAGACATGGATTCATATAAACTTCTACACCTAAACGAATCGCGATTGGTTTAGCATCTCAACCGATTTGAATCGTCACATATTTTAATCGATTTTCAACCGGCTCGCAGTTAATCGTTACATCCCTACTAAAAATGAATCTTGCTTCTTTGTTTACGGAGGTGATGTGGGCATTTACAGGTTCGTGCATCTCATGTGGATGATTACCGTATGAATAGCGCGTGCTGCGCATGAGCGTGATCACATTACAGACAAGGAGCTCAGACGGGAAAAACTGTACTTCGCGTTGGTTTCATACGGATTACTTCATCAGAGAACATTTGTTTTAGATAAGACTTACTTCATTTAAAAGTAGACACTTCAAGTTTTCCATAGATATGTTTCTCATGTCTGTGTGTGAAGTATTCGCTGAGTTTTGGTTCATCTTAGTGACGCGTTTCAGAAAGTAGTTTGCGGAGACAGACAGCTGAAAGCGCACCCTGTATATTTTCTTTATTTTACAAAAGTACAACCTTTTGTTGATATTGTGAGTGTACATAAATAAAAGTAGACCCTTCATAGATTCAAATGATGTATTACACTTGTTTGTACAACCAAAAATGGCGGAGGATTTTAAGTTCTTTTCGCTGTTATCAGGAAAAAATGCAAGTGATCGTGCTGGCGACAAATGGCATGAAATTTGAAAGCATAACAACTTGAAGGTCTATGAAGCCGTCAGTCCATAAAGCATTTTTTTTTAAACAATGGCACTTTCATTTTTGAACTAAAATATTAGTGCAACCATATAGCCTGAAAATGCATATTTTTAAATTAAAGAAAAATTTTAGAGTGTGGGCTGCTTCTGGTGCTTTGGATTTGTACTTCAATATAATGAGGTATAAGTTTCAGAATACACTAGAAGTTGCGTTTTTAAAATTGTTCCTCAGGTAAATTGAATGTTTTCCTGCCTTGCTGGATGATGGATTCATGATCAATAGGTTGTTTGCATTCGCCCAAACTGATTTGGCAAAATTATAAAACAGACGGTGAGCGCGAGTCCCACTCGCTGTGAAGTAGCCGGCAGAGGATTCCGCTTGGTCTTAAAGCCTTCCTCGAACAGCTACGCTCACAAATACAACATTGATTTGCGCAATAGAATGATTAGTTATCAATTGAGAATTTGTTATTCATATGGTCTGGTTGTCATTTGACGTATACCTGCGAATACTGGACAAACGGTGTTATAGCTTTCATACGGGACGCTTCTTTGATGCCTTAAATACGGGCATCCATATTTCAACCACAGTGGCATGACAAGACCAGCCCTCGCGGTCAAAAAACAGACCGACCCACAATCCGGGCCTGGCATGTTATGTAGTCATCTAGAACTCGTTTTTAATCTAGTAATCTCCCCCACACCAGCAGGTGGCAGTAGTCTGTATTCGGCATTCAAACAGGGAAACCAGAAGAGCTAGAATTGTGTATATACAAAGCAAGCAACGCTTTATCATTGTTTACACCAGCAGCAATCATTACTGACGGATTTGTGTAGCTTTTTTCAATCATGTCTGCTAAGTTGCAAATGGCACTGGTATTGTCAGTCTTTGGTCTTCTTCTTGTGGATAAAGAAAGAAAGAAACTGACAGAATGACAACAAGTGTCTGTACGCTCTCTCTTAACTCCATCATTGGTTTGCTTTCATCCATTTTTTTTTCTTGTGTGCACATTCGCTAAGCTAAATAGCCAATCGGAGTTCTCTTTCTCGCCGACGAGCTCTGGCACCGATTAGACATGCAGAATAGACCAAAAAACAGCTGACAGCGTCCTACTAGATCAGTGGTTCTCAACCTTTTTTTCCTCCGGGCCACACTATGGTCCAAGTGCAAGTCTCGCGGGCCTCACGCATATCATTTACATATTACGTCAGCAATACAAACCAACCTGATTTATATTATTATAGCCTAAATATTATGATATCTAATGGATTACATTCATTGAAATAAATAATTCTACTCCCCATAAATAATACCCAATTTTGTGAACTTCAGCACGAAAGGAGTAACAGCACAATCATAGGCGGAGTTTCACTTTTATGCGTGGGGGGGGCACCCACTGGCAGACGAGCCACGAGCACTTTTTTATGTTCTAAATTTCATGTAGTTTAGTTATGTAACATATTCTACATTTAAAAATTTATTTAGAATGAACAATAACTGCTGTACAGAGAGTTAAAAAAAAAAAAAGAAAGAAAAAAAACACACCTAATGCAGAAAAGCCGCCTCTTTTTCCGAATTGCGCAGATGACCACTATCTTTCTTTCATCTCTTCTGATAAATTTTCAGTCAAATCGTTTTCTGTGTGCTAGATCAGAGCTAGAGCCCTGCATTTCAGCCTAGGCTCGACGGGCCCCGACTTTTTTTACGCCCCTCGGGCTGGGCTTCGGGACAATTTTCACATCATAGTTCAGACACGGGCAGGGCCTCGGGCCTGTTTTAGGCTTCTCCTTATTTTTATATTTTAGACATCCATCAATTAGTGATGAAAAAATTGCCGCAATGGTGGAAACAACACGAGACCGAGCTACAGAGACTGTCAAGAGCGGCTCGACAGTGTTTAGTGTCCAGCAACAGCAGCAGCAGCATGTACGGTGTGTGCCGTCAGCGCAGCTGAACAGTTCTGCGTTCAAATAGGCTTAAGTTTGCCCCAAAGCATCGGCAAAAGTAATTACCATAAATG